CCAAAAGGGAAAGTGAGAACTTTAGTGTGGTCAGGAGATGGAGGGAATAAAGGCCAATGGAAGAAGTCTGAAAGGACAGAGGCCAAAAAAAGATCAAGACTCCAGCTCCGTACCCAAGTCATAGAAACCTGAAAATAATCTAGCCCTCAAGTTCAGTATTAGAAATATACTGCTCCCTCAATTGATGGTGAAAGGGAAGATTGACCAAATTGACTTTATATCCTGTGCTTTATCAAATCTCTAACCATTCAAGGCAAAAGTCACCATCTATCGTGGGTAACCCTTGACTATAAGAACTATAGGAAGAAAATTGACAAATTTAAACATTGTATAGAAGATTTCACAACATCTCAATTAATCATAGTTCAATAGTGCCCAAAAAAACTAATAATGAATAAATAGGATTTATTGACATAGGAGAATCTCGTACCCAATTATTAGAAAATAAACATTCTTCTTAAGAACTACCCCCAAAATAATTTACCCATAGAGCAACAATGGAAATCTCAACTGAATTTCAAATACCATATGGGACCATAATAAAATTAGGTTAAAATCAATAACAAAAGATATCTTAAGTATGCAAATAGAATTCTAAAGCCCTTCTAATATTTCAGGGCTCAGGAGAATTATTTTAAAAATTCAAAGACTAAATAATAACAAAAAAAAAGTATAAAACTTTGTAGAATATGGGAAAAGTTACACTTGGAGAAAGTCTATATACTAGGCTGGGTGTGGTGGCACAAGCCTATAATCCCAGCTACTCAGGGAGGCTGAGGCAGGAAGATCACAAGTTCAAGTCCAGCCTTGGCAACTTAGAAAGACCCCATCTCAAAAGAAAAATAAAAAGGGCTGGGAAGTAGTTTATTGATAGAGTACTCCTGGGCCTAAACTCCAGTACAAAACAACAACAAAAGACTCTTATTAGGAAAATAAAGGTTGAAAATTGATGAGAAAGAGAAAAAGAATGGCAGAATAAACTCAATAAAAAAAGATTAGAGAGAAAAAACTAATGAAGTACAAAAAAAGATTACAAAAAGTATCAAGAAAGTAAGAAACTAATTCTTAGAAAACACTAAGATAAATAAATAATCAGCAAGACTGCTGAGGAGAAAAAAAAAATGAAACAAAAGAAGCTCCAAAACAGACCAATGAATGAAAGGGCATACCCATGCAACAGATGTAGTAACACAACTCACAAGAAAGAAGGAAAATTAAATGTTCTGGAGTTAGTGATACGAAAAATGCAGGATGGTCTAATAATGTAAACATGAAAGGCAACCTAATGATGTGAATATGGAAGAAATTATAGTAGTAAACTACTGTTTACTGTTTACTACTATGTTCTTTCAGCATGAAAGGATTTCTCCCTCCTTCCTTTCTTCCTTCCCTCCCTCCCTCCTTCCCTATTTCTCTTCCCTCCCTCCCTCCCTCCTTCCCTATTTCTCTTCCCTCCCTCCCTCCATCTCTTTCTTTGTGCTGGGGATTCAACCCTGAGCCTTGTGCATGTGACACAATCACTCTACCAACTGAGCTATATCCCCAGCCCCATAGAAGGATTTCTTAAACAAACCAGGAGCAGTAATGCACATCTCTAATCCCAACAATTTGAGAGGCTGGGGAAGGAGTATGACAAGTTGGTACCAGTCTCAGTAATTTACCAAGATCGTGCTCAAAATAAAAAGAACTGGGGACAAAGCTCAGTGGCAGAACACCCAAGTTCAATCCCCAGTACTAGGAAAAAAAAAAAAAACTTAAGAAGGATTTTATAAATAAGAGACAAAACTTAATTAATAAGAAAAAAGTGAATAAATGAATATTTTGACTACCTGCAAATCGAGAACTTGTTTATCTTAAGACATCATAAGGAAAAAATTTTTAAATAAAAATAACAAAATGACCAGACACAAAAAAACTAGTGATATTTGCAAAATTAAAAAAACTAAAGATTAGTATCTGAACTATGTAAAAATGCCTACAAAGAATAATAAAAAGACAATACATTGGGCAAATGGGCAACAACCTTAACTAGAATTTTACCAACAAGGAAACTTATAAGATCAACAAATATATGAAAAGATGCAGTTGTAACTGCCATCAGAGAAACAGAACTTCAGACCACACGATTTCATTTTTTAAAAATATGTTTTAGTTGTTGCTGAACCTTTATTTTATTCATTTATTATTATGTGGTGCTGAGAATTCAACCCAGGGCATCACAAATGCTAGACAAGCATTCTACCACTGAGCCACAACCCCAACCCCACAAGATTTCATTTTAAAACCTATTAGAATAGTAAAAATCAGGAATATTGCTAGTATCAAATATATGGCAAAAACTATGGAATAGTGGTAGCTCTAATACATTCCTGGTAAGTGTTTAAATTGTTAAAACTGCATAGAAAACAATATAATATTTTCATGTAAAGTTGCACATTCAAGTGCCCTTCCAGAAGCAATTCTGGTTTTTAAAACATAGGATATTTTTGCAGTTAAGTTCCAAGCATTCTTTATAATAACAAACAATGGCAAACTACTCAAATATCCATTGGTAGAAAAATGGTTAAATAAATTAGGTTAACTCACAATAGAGCATTACACAACAGTGAAAATGAAAGAACTATAGCTTAAGGCAACTTCATGAATGTATCTTAGGAACAATAATAAGTGGAGAAAAAAAGACAAATTGGACTTCTGAGCATTAACATCTTTCTCTCATGCAGCCCTACTTTCAAGATTTAACATTCTGTAACAAAATCATCTTAAAGACAAAGAAGAAAGAAATTATTATAACCTCATCTTTTGCTATGAATTTCCTTTGAAAATGTACTGGTTTCATGATTGAAAAAGAAATGCACAAATGTGGGCTACTGTGGGTCCTGAGTCTCAAAAGATAACAAAACAAACACAAAATTAAATGGAACAAACTGAAGAACTGCTTAAGTCCAAAGAGTCTCAAATGACAGGATGTCATTTTTCTAAGGAGTACTCTATGAATCTAATTGAAACATTTTTGTACAGAAGAAACTAATGTACTGAAACGCTTTTACATTTTTAGGACTTTTCTACATTTCTGGACTCTGGATAAAAAAAATGGTATATAGCAATATTTACACAGTCCAAAAGAAGTCTCCACGATTATTTTCTGGTTATAAACATGAATTTACATATCCAGATGTTTCTTTTAATGTTTCATTGTTTTCCTTGAAATGTATAAAAATTTGTAAATTATATTTTCCTCAATAAGATGATATTATTTGTGCACATTTTTTAAAAAGTCTACAGAAAGAATGATTATGAAACTCAAAGAATTAGGTTTCTGGGGCTGGGGATGTGGATCAAATGGTAGCGTGCTCGCCTGGCATGCGTGCGGCCTGGGTTCGATCCTCAGCACCACATACAAATAAAGATGTTGTGTCTGCCAAAAACTAAAGAAAAATGAATATTAAAAAGTTCTTTCTCTCTCTTAAAAAAAAAAAAAAAAAGAATTAGGTTTCTGTGTTTGCTGGTGGTACTGGGGAGTGAATCCAGGGATACTTTTTCCACTGAGCTACATCCCCATCCCTTTTTATTTTTTACTCTGAGCCACAGTCTTGTTAAGTTGCCAAGGCTGGCCTTGACTTGTGATCTTCCTGCCTCAGCCTCCAGAGTAGCTGGGATTACAGGTGTGTATCACCACACCCAGCTCAAAACAAAGAATTTTATTTCCAGTATTAAAAAAATGAAAATAATGGGAAAAGCAAATTCAGGATAACAGTTACATTGGGAGTTAGGAAAAGACAGAATATGGGATCAGGAGGCATTCACAGGTAATCCTTTAACCATGCTGGTATCAACCTAGTTTTCAATTGGAAATGGTTGACTCACAGATTTATGTATTAATTACTGACTTCCATATGTTACATATGATCTGGCATATTCAAATTATACATTTTTAATAAGTTAATCCATGGAAGGCAAGAAGTACACAGAGGAAAATGTAAATCACTAATTCGTCAGGTGTGATTTCTATAGTTTATCATAGAAGAGAAGGGTAAATATTATTTTTCAAACAGATGGTGTTTTATTTATCTTCCAAGAAAAAGACACTTCTTCCTGGTCAGTAAATAGGGACTAAGGAAAGGGGAAGAAATTAATTCATCTGGAAGTACATTTAAAAAAAAAATTAAGGAACTTCATTAATAGTTTAAACATTTTGGGTGGATGAGGGTGCTATATAATTTCAGGTAATTGCAGAAAATAAAGGAGACAGGCACTGGATTAACTATTTGAGATTAATTTTAAAAGTTTAAAACACCATGCAGACTGGGACTTGGTGCCAACCAGGTTAAACTGTTCACTCTACTATTCTAAACTTCCTATACCCTGATACCCAGCTCCAATATACTTCTTGCTTTGTTTCATATAGACCTTTCTACATAAACCAATCATCAGACTCAAGAACACATGCTTCTGATAACCAGTAACTGCAAACTTAAACTACAAAACATGATAAGCTGGTTAAAAAATGATACCTTCTTGGGCTGGGGCTGTAACTCAGTGGCAGAGTGCTTGCCTAGCATGTGTGAGGCACTGGTTCAATCCTCAGCACCACATAAAAAATAAATTAATAAACAAAGATATTATGTATCCATATACAACTGAAAAAAATGTTTAAAAAATACCATCTTGTCCTAAAAACATATACAACAAATAAAATGTTCAATTTCAACATATAATTAATCCCCTTGCTTCATTTAAAAACAAAGTTGCCTGGCACCTTAGAATATACTGTTCTATATATTTTCTCTTTAATCCTAGCATTGTAATAACTCTTGTGAGCAAGGAGGTACCTTGTCCATCTTAGAGATGAGAAAATGCCTCAGAAATGTTAAAAGGTCCATGGTCATATTTTTATATCATCATTATTACTGGTTTTGGTAGATATAATTAACTATCAACATGTACTGAGTTTGATTATTAAATACAATGTTAGTTTAAAAACACTGTTAATCACTTACAATGTATCAGGAACTGTCCTAGACACTGGGGATACAAAGATGAATAAGATGTGATTCCTTCTTTCAAGGAGCTCATAGTCTGGTGAGAAGACAACCCTGTAAACAAATATATAGTTTTCAGTGTGATAGTTACCAAATAGATGCAAAATATAAAGCAGTACACAAGACAAAGTAGATAATCTAATATTCAGGGATCAGGAAAGGATTCACAGAAAAGATCAGAATAGTTTACCTGGTAATCTAAATAAACCAAGCATAGTACTTTAAAGTTTATCCAGAAGGTAACTTATACATACTGATAGGTCTCAATAATGAGAATTTCATTTTGAAAAAATTAATTTTGGCAACTATGAGCTCATTTTTCAGAACCACATTATTGGTAGTATGACGGAATGAACTTGGGATACAGAAAAAATCTTTGAGCAGATGGTCATGGAATAGCTGAGGGTTACAAAAAGAGGAATCTAAACAGCTAAAATTTCTCATCTCAGATTTTGGGTGGATGAGGGTGCTATAAGGACAAGAAAAAGAAGAGGAGCAAATTTAGGGAGATAATATGGCAAAGTTTTCAAAACCCATCTACAGAGTAAGACTATCTGTACTTCATTTCCAGTTCTGCCACTTAAGAGATATGTGATCAAGTTCTATCTTTTCCATGGTTCATTTTCTATATCAGTAAATGGAAGAGCAAAGCCATCTACCCCATGTTATAATAAAAGATTAAATAAGATAAAACAAGTAAAATACTTAGCTCTTTGATTATGTGGCAAGAAGTAACCGCCTAATAAAGCCTAGCTATTGCTCTTATTATGGGAGGAGGTTAGAAATAAAAGTTTCATTTTGCACATGTTGTTCAAAGGAAGACTGTTCTCATCCGGGTGTCACACAGTTTAGTCCAACAAATGTGGAACTTAAAAAGTTAGAAAACTGAAACAGGTCTATAAAGAAGAAATATTTTGAAGTTATAGTTTATGCAAGTGGTATTAAATCCATGAAAGATAAAAAAAAAAAAAAAGCGGGGCCAGGGTTGTGGCTCAGTGGTAGAACGCTTGCCTAGCATGCGTGAGGCACTGGGTTCGATAACCAGCACCACTTAAAAATATTTTTAACAAATAAAATAAAGGTATTGTGTTCATCTACAACTAAAAAAAAACTTAAAAAAAATAAAAAAGCTTGCTCATGGAGAAAATATTTGGATACATAGAGGAATAAAAGAGGGTGCCAATCAACTTATAAGCACAATATTAGTACTACTTAAAATAACAAATCCATGGGGACAACAACTGGTATGAAAATATGACTATCTTCCAGTTGTTCCTAGGATATGGTAACAGAGAACAGGAGTGGGGGGGAGGGGAGGGGAGAAGGAAAAAAAATATGATCAATTCAGGTTCAAGAATTTAGAAAGTGGGCGTGGCAAAAGGAAAATCAAAGTCTGAATTTTTAACAAACTTTACAGCAAATTGGTTATTTGTCCAAATAAATTTAGGTTATAACTATGCTTAAAGGATATAGCCAGTTATATCTAAATTGATGATGTCCAGTTCAACTCTTTAAAACTGCCATAGAGTTTTACAAAAATTCATTATTATTCAACTGCACAAGAAAAAGACCTGAATGTAGATAACCAACTATATTTCCAGTACTGAGATTATAGAACAAATTCTCATTTAGAAGATATATAGTGATTGCTTACTTCAAGATGACATTCTTAAATCAAAAGCAAAAATCTTAAAAAAAAAAAATCTGATTAGATCTGATTCATCCTGCACATTATACACAGTGTTGGGGTTTTGAGAAGCCAGCAAACTATCAACACAAATCCATCTACCTGGATCAATTAATAAGCATACTTATTGACTGCCTAGTATGTAAGCAGGCATGACAAAGATATAAAAATGGTAGATGACAAATGTCCAGCTTCAATGAATACACAGAAAACAACTCAGTAACAAGATCAGATGGTATACATCATGCACTAGGAAAGTTTAGTCCAATGTATGTGGAACCTTAGTTAGAAAACATGAAACTAGAAAAAACTATTACATCAACAGCACAAAATCGAAAAATCAATGAAATGTAGTAAAAATGTAGTAAAGTTGTCCTCCTTCTAATACATCTGAGATTAAGAAATAATAATGCATAAAATTTTCTTTAAAAATGCAGACTACAGTTTGTAGGGTTTAATTTTAAACAATACAGAAACAGGCTTGGGATGCAGCTCAGTAATAGAGTGCTCGCCTAGCATGTCCAAGGCCCTGGGTTTCATCCCCAGTACTGCAAAAATAAACAATACAGGAATATTCTCTTGAGATAAGTCATTTTTAAAGATACTACTAGTCATTTTAGTGAACTTATAAAATGTGACAATAAACATGAGGGTGGACCAACTCATCCTAGTGTGCCCAAGACAATCCAGGTTTTAGTCCTACATCCAAAGAAATCTCTCAGTTCTAGGCAAACTGGGATATTGGATAATCTTAACAATATGATGGGTCTAACAGCTTTTTTATACACCTCAAAGAAATTTTTCTAGTGGAATCTGGTCATATAAAGTGTAATTGTGCTATTTTTTTTTTCATTTCCATGTAGCCTGCAAACTCAAGAAGAAAAAAATTCAGTTCTATGGGGACTACCCACTAAGACATGTTGGGAAACAGAAGTAGGTAAAGTAAGAGGCAGGTTTTTTTAACATACAATGCCACTCATAGACTTCAGTAACAAACCCTCCAAATTATCAACACTCTTGACTCCTAAAGGCTGAAGGCATTTCCAACTTCCTGCATGAGCTTTCTAATATTCAATCCTACTGTTCCTCCCTATATAGTAAATTCTTCCATATCCCTTGCCCTCAAACTTCCCCCAACAGTCTCTGCATTCAGGCCAAGGACTCATTACCCCTGTAGCTTGCAAACTGCCAAACTCCATTCAATCATCTCACACAAGTGACCCCTCCCAAGCTTGATGGGCCCTATTCTGCTTACAACCTCCCAATAATTCTCTCTTCCACCACAGTCTTCCCTTACAATCTGCCCACTTACTGTAGGAACTCCACTCCCTCCAGCTCTCCTTTGTCCCTGGAGCCACACCATCACTATTTTATGTGTGCATAGCACTTGACAGTTTTGAACTATCATATCAGGGGAAATAGAGTAAGTGCAAGTGTTTCCAATTTCACCAATGCAATATTAATACTGTTTCCTTTAAACTGCACCCCCTCTCTGACTTTTCTTCCTAGGATGTGTCTTCAACCAATATCTTCAAAGAAACTTCGTGAAGTTTCACTGAAGTTCAGTGTATACTTATAAACTGTGACAGAAGGTAGCTGATTTTTAATAAAATTTTCTTGTCCATAAGGACCTCTTCTTATATTTATACCACTGATTAATCCACTTAAACCCAAACACAAAAATATCAACCCCTGATAATTTTACATGTGTGTCACTGGGTAAAAGTGATGCTTCTAAAGTAGCACAATTTGGGTGACCTGAAGAGTACTTGCAATATCTCTAGAAAAAAGGACAAATAAAGATGGAAATCTATAGATACTTTCTCACCTCTGACTGCAATTTGGATGTTTATTTCAACCTAAAAATGCCTATTTATTTTATTTCATTTTATTTTTTTTAGAGAGAGAGAGAACTTTTTAAATTTTTTTTTTTTTTTTTAGTTTTCGGCGGATACAACATTTTTATTTGTATCTGGTGCTAAGGATCGAACCCAGCGTTGTGCGCATGCCAAGCAAGCACACTACTGTTTGAGCCACATCCCCAGTCCCTAAAAAATGCCTATTTAATCACAGGACCTAATAACCTAATTTTTTTCTCCTCTATCTTGCTGTATTTTCAGCCAATTCCAAATTTCTTTTTAGTGTACAACATATTACTTTAGGGGAGGATCACAGGAAGTATTTTTTATGGGAATGTTAATTTTTAATGTACCAAATTATCCAAGTCAATATTAATACCCAACTCTTATTATTCTTCGCCACCAAATTTTAGATTTTCAACCGGAGGAAGTTAATTTTTACCAAGACTTTGGATTGTTTTCATTTATTCCCTAATTTTCACTTTCCCCGCCCAGCTGAGAAAAAGTTTATTTGGGGGCTCATGGTTTTAGAGAGTCCGTTCATGGTCTGCAGACTCCATGGCTCTGGGTCAAAGGTGAGGGAGAACGTGATGACAGAAGTGCATGGCACAGGAAAGCAGCTCAG